TTGAAAATACTTTTTGTACCCTATATCGCGTTTCTCTGAAAGTAAATTGTATGACGTATTCAGTGTGTGCTTGAATTAAATCACTTAACAAATATTGTGATTTTTTCTATGTAATGCAGCAACTACAAACTTTAACCTAACGTTTTTCCAATAGGGTAGTGACGTAGTTACCGTGGTAGGTGTGACGTCACAAATACTACAATAACACCCATTATTGTTAATGTAAGGCACCTTAAATGTGTCTGTTGGTAGTATATACGTAACTTTATCCACATTACACATACTGAACAGATACAGTCAATGGGACAATGTAACGTAGGAAAGGTTACACCATACATATACTTTGTGCCTCAGTAAAATGCTTTAATTATGTGGCATCGGATATGCCCAGAAGAGGGTCCACTATGCTCATTCACATAACGTTTGCAGCTAGTGTTTATCGAAATTAAAGAGCATCTTTTACACGTGGCGGGGTATCCTAGATTTCATGATATAAATTACAGTTTTTGGAAGAATAGGCGATATTATGAGCGTTGCTTGTTGAATTGTGACGTATCATTCATGCGAGAACGGTTTTTGGCTGCGTTGGCTCCCGTCCGCAGGGAGTTCTTTCTAAATATAAAAGTAGTTTTTTAGCCACCCATTTCAAAATACTTTTTTTTAAAAACCAAATGTCACTACTACAGGTAAAACTTTGAAAATTACAGCTAAACTCTAAATCTAAATTGCTTACTGCTAATTAATTCATTGAAATTACGCCACAAACCAAATATTAATAGTTTTTTGGAAAACTTAGGTTAGCCATGGACCAATTTATTATTTGCTGATGTATTATAATTGTGTATTAGTGTCTTTATCATTTTATTAATTGCATATATTCATTACGATTTTTTATTTATTTACTTGTGTTGACTTCTTCTGGGACATTGGCTAGTCAGCGAGATGGGAACAGCGCCTCCAACTGCCAGTTCAAAGTATCCTTTCAAAAATGGCTGATCGCTCACCCTCTTTGATTTTGTGCCCAATTTTAGTTCGTTTGCTCGTTTTTGGTCCGTTTGGCTCGCTTTTGGCTAGTTTTAAGTTATTTGGCTCGTTTCGGGGTAGTTTGGATCGTTCCATGTTTTGTCAATCGAAATGGCGGTCATGTCATGTTATAGTTACTCGTATTTATTTATTGAGCTGTCATGTTAGTTACTCATATTTATTGAGCTGCAAACAAAATCTTCTCCAGAAATCTATTTCTATGACGTGGCGATTTTCAATGTCGTTAACAAATTTGATATATTTTTATTTCGTTTCGTTTCATTTCGTTTCGTGGAAAAGACTAAGCCGGGCCTGACGACCTATTCGTATGCTTGGTTGCTGAATTAAATCGCAGTCCCTCTACATGGACGTAAATATGGGCATGTCTCGATACAGGGCCATATCCTTGCTCGAAATATAGTGGACATTATAGAATTGAAACAATTTGGTAATGTATTGCAAGCTGAAATCCCAAAATAAATAATACGTGTTTCTGTACGTTCAGCCTGTGTGCAGCTACATGCAAT